CAAACAGATGCCCCATTGTGTTCACAGTGATTTCCTGGGCTGCTTTGAAGTCCTTCTGGTGAGTCAGTGGGTTTTACAAGATGGCTTGGGAGGTGACTCTTGAGCTTTAGGGTAAAAAACGTTTTTTGTCTAAAGAGGAATGGGTTTTGTTGTTGTTTGTTTGTTATTCTATTTGGGTTTTTATTATTAATTTTGCTTTTGGTACAGGATCTTGTGTTCCAGGGCTGGTCCTAAACTCACCATGTAGCCGAGGATGGTCTCGAACTTGTGACCCCTACCTCTGCCAGCAGAGTGCTTCAATTACAGGTATGGGCAACCATACCTGGTTTTATGCCGTGGTGGGGATCCAACCCAGAGCTTCCTGCTTGTAAGCTTTGCTTTGTAAGCAACTCCTACCTTGGTGTGGTGGGACACACAGTGGTTTTCATTTTAACAGAGGAGAGATATTAATTGTTCTTTTAAACTGGTGTAGGAAGAAAATGCCCAGTGAGCTGGGACTGAAGAAAGGGATAACACAATTAAGGAACAGATTTTAAACACATCCATGTGGGGCAGCCAGCCCTGGGTCAGTTTGAACTCTGCCCTCAGTACCCTGAGGGACTCACTCTAGGGCCTGCTGTGTGACAGATGCCATGCTACCTGCAACAGCCACCACAGGCTAGGTGGGGAGATGTCTAAGATGCCCTTCTCACGACTCCAAAGAAAGGAACGCGACTCCTGTGCACACCTGTCTGCCAGGTGGCTGGGAGGATGAAATGAGGAACAGCCCATCGGGCTCGCTTTAGTGCTCCTGCACACAGTAACTGCCGAGATGTTTGTATCATGACATATGCTCACAACCGTTGATCCCGGGAACACACCCAGGCCTTCCTTTCCTGCTCGTGTAATACTCCGTTGTCTAGAGGGTTCACTCAATTCATTCACTCAGCCACGGTCTAGGAACAAGAAATCCTTGCTGTGGCTGCTGTGGCTAGAGGCCCAATAAACATTGCATCCAGCTGTTGTGTGAACAAGAGTTTGCATTCTCCAGGGGAGAAAGCCAAGCAGCTGGATCACCAGGATCTATGTTAGGTGTGTTTACACCAGAAGAAGCCTGCGATAAACAAAAATGAAAGCACTGTATTTCAGAGCTGTGTGCACACTTGCCCACCGCCATGCGTACTTCAGAGCTGTGTGCACACTTGCCCACCGCCATGCATACTTTCAGAGCTGTGTGCACACTTGCCCATGGCCACGCGTACTTCAGAGCTGTGTGCACACTTGCTCATTGCCATGCGTATTTCAGATCTGTGTGCACACTTGCCCACCACTATGCCCAAGAAAGGCATCATTCTGCCATAGCAAGGCATCTTCACCAGATTTTGCATCCAGATTTTGTAACCGAGGAACTGACTGTGGCTTTAACTTGCCTTTCCCCAATGGGTAATGGAGTTGAACAATGATGCTTTCCTTTATGGCTTCTGGTTGTTTTTTTTTCCCATCCTGTATTTAAAATCTACCCACAGAGCATAACCTATTCCTCTCATGCTGCCTTCTAGAACTCTAAAGTTTTACTTTTCCCACAGAGATTGTTTTTCTGCCAACCGTGCCTTTTCAAGATGAAATAGTGAGTGATTTTTATTCATCCTTTCGGTAGGGACAGCCACTTGCACAAGCCCTGTGATTTAGTGGCCTGCTGCCGCCGTTGCTCACAAGCGTGTGCTCACAAGCGCGATCACGAATTTCTTTCCTGGTTATGTAGTACTCCGCTTTTTAGAGGTACCATTCAATTCACTCACTCAGCCATGGGCGAGAAACATTTATATCCTCCCGGATACAGTCTCTGTCACAGGTCACTGTCTTAGTTAGGATTTTTATGCTGTCAAGAGACACCATGACCATGGCAATTCTTACAAAGGAAAACATTTCAGTGGGGTTGGTTTACAGATCAGAGATTTAGTCCATGCAAGCAGACATGATTTTGGAGTGGTAGCTGAGAGTTCTACATCAGGATAGGCAGGCAGCAGGAAGAGAGAGACACTGGGCCTGGCTTGAGCATCTGAAACCTCAAAGTCCACCCACAGTGACACACTTCCTTCAGCAAGGACACACCTCCTAACAGTCCCACTCCCTATGGATCTTTTGGGGCCATTTTCATTCAAACCACCATAGTCACCTTTCTGCATGCACAGGTGCTGTGGTTTATACATCACTGTCTGTCCCTCTCAGGGCAACTCTTTATAGCCACATCCCTAAAGCTGGATGATGATGTCTGATCAAGACACATCCCTTTGGTTATTTACCGGAATTGCCTGACCTACTTCTGGATACAACTAGCCAGCAATGCTATGGGTTCATGATGGAGCCAAGAGAAGGCTGCTCACAGTTTTTAGTCTCTCTCTATGGACATAGTATTTCTTTAACTGCAGCCAAGACGCTGCCAATTAAAAGATATACCATTATGTACTCTGTTTGGAGGAAAGGAACAAGTATTGCCAGCTAATTTATGACAAGAAGCGAAGGCAGGGTCAATTTGAAGTTCTATCTGATTTCTGAGATGTTAAAAATATTTTTTTAAAACATGTTTTAGAGTTGATGAAATTTAGTAACTGTCTCCAGTTATTTCAATGGTTTCGTAACTCTCCATCTGCACACACTTCTGTTATATCTAGCTAGGTACTGTAAGGGTCTTGCATCGTAAATGGTAACTTTACTTCTTATTAACTTATTATTAATTAAGGGTTTTTTTTTTTTGACAAGTTCATGTTGGATAGTTCTGGCCTGGAATTTGTTGTATAGTCCTGGATGACCTTGAACTTGCAAAGTGTCTCCTGCTTCTGCTTCCCACACTGGGATCACAGGTGTGTATCACCCTACTCAATTATTACCTTCTTGGAAATGCTGGATGTTCCTAATGGATACCTAGAAACACAGCCATCCCAACCTGTCCTCAGTTGTGGCGTTTGCCCACAGAGGCAGAGCTGCTGACCCCTCAGCTTCGCACATGTGGTGAACTGCAAGATGCCAGCTCTCCCGGCATGCTGCGCTCTGCTGTAGCCTCAGGTGCCTGCAAGGCCAGCACTTGCACATGGCTGCATCTCTGTGGAGAACACATGCTTTCTCCCAAGGTTTCCAGGAGTGTAGGACCCTTCCGGTCTCTGAACATTGATATAAGTATGCTGCGTTATCATTCACTCTGTGTATATCAACTATAAAGAGATTAAAACTCACCATGCTGCGGGCTTGTGTATTCTGCCTTTGAGTCATGAAGCTCTGTTTTCTGTTATCATGCCTAGCTGAAAGATTTAGCCACCGTGCCTTTCTGGCCAGTCTTCCTTCCTACCACCACACAGTGGCCACCTTTGTCTCCAACAATGCTTTCTTTTCCTAGAAAATTCCAGCAATCTTCTAATAGCAGAAATGCTCTCAAAAGTTTTGGCTTACACATTCTGTTTTGCTCCTCAGACCGCTGGTGTTTATGTGTCAGCCTGTTTGGATATTGCTTATATGCAGCAGGTGGCTTTGATTTTTAAATCCAACTTGACAAGCTGTCTTTACCTGGCAAATTTAGTCCATGGGGCTTCATTGTGATTTATTGTTATTGCAGTGGCTTATGGGAGATTAAATAACAAATCTAAGGGACTCTTGGAAACGAAGCTCTTTTTAAAGTGCCTTCCACAGAAAGGGTCAAAGCGCAGAGTAAAGGGGTGTGTGGATAGATGACTGGGCAGTTCAAAGAACTCGCTGCTCTTCCAGAGGAGTCTGGTTGCTTTTTAGTACTCATGTGCTGACTGACAACCACTCTCTAGTTGCAGGGGCTCCCAGGCATTCTTCTGGTCCCTACAGGTGCCAGGCATGCAGGAGGTGCCCACACATACATGCAGGCAAAATGCTCATACATAAAAAACAATAATAAATAAATCTTTTAAAAGTTCCCAATCCTGGGAGCATGGAGACCTTGGGAGAGGGTTGGAGGGGAAAGGAGAGGAAGGGAGGGGAACAGAGAAAAATGTAGAGCTCAATAAAAATCAATAAAAAAAAGAAAAAAAAGCTCCCAATCCTAAGACATACCTGTCCTCTTCTCCCATAGGCCGGGAGTCACCCTTTTGTAAGTCCCCCATTTCATGGGTTTAGGACACAGATCCTTATCTAAAAAAACAATTTGGGGCTTGAGACTGCCACCTTTTCTGATTGTGGGCTCAGTCACACAGCAAACTGCCTCTAACTTTCCAATTCTAAGGGTTCTGAGACAAGCAGGTGCCAGCTGCCAGCTAGGAGAGAGAGGGGGCCTTAGAGCCTCCTGCTATGTGTACCTGCTCAACTCTGTGTCCATCATATCATAAAAGGATCATAATAATCTAGTTCTTATGTCATTTGGATGTGAAGTGTCTTCCGTAGGCTCACCTATCTGGATATTTGGTTCCTGGTTGATGGCACTGTTTTTAGGGAGAGTGTGGAAATTTTAGGAGGTGTGGTCTTGCTGGAGAACTTAAATCACTGAGGTTGGGCTTTGAGGGCTCCTAGCTTCATCCTACTTCCTGTTCCCTGGCTCTTTTTTGGATATGAATGAAAATATGGAAAGTCGGCTTCCTGCTATGCCTTCCCTGCCATGAGGGACTGTAGCCATGTAGCCTCTGGAACTGTCAGTCAAAATAAACCCTTTTTTCCCTTAAGCTATTTTTGGTCATGGCATTTTGTCAAAGCCATGGGGAAGAAACTAATGCAGAGATGAATGTGGGCATACTTTGGTGCCCATGTTATGGGTGTGTTTAAAATCCCTGGGATTCCCTGGAACTAGAGAGTGGTTGTCAGTCACCATGCGGGTACTAAGAAAGAACCAGGCTCCTCTGGAACAGCAGTGAATTCTTTGAGCTGCTGAACCATCTCTCCACACACACACACACACACACACACACGCACGCACGCACGCACGCACGCACGCACGCATGCACACACACCCTTTGCTCTGTTCTTCACCTCTTTCTGGAGGAAGCATCTGGGGCACTCTCCTTTCTCTTTGCTTTGTTGTTGACCGTCCTTCTTCTGCTGATGCTTCCTGACAGGTCTATTGGATGGAAGAACATTTTCTCCTTCTTTTCCTGCCCTCACTGATGTTTTGGAACTTGTTTATTCTATCTCAAGGGTAGTGTTAACAGGATACCAAGCCAAAGCTCCCAGCCATGCTAGCCTCTCACACAAGGCTTAGGTTCTCACGGGGTTTCACACCTTCTCGGATATCCTTTGGTCTTCACAGCAGAAAGTGTCTAGGCGTGTGTCACTGTGCCTGTTCAGAGTCTTCTTAGCTTTGCGTTTCTTTGCAGCTGATTTCTGTCTGTGGACAAGAAAAGGATTAGGAGGAAGGGGCAGAGGAGCAGGGAAGTCACTTTAGGGGTTTGCCCTGGGCTTTTCCTACCACGATAACTGTTCCCCACCTCCTAGGGCTCTACCTTCTGATAGATAAATATATACATCTCAAGCCAAATGGATGTTCATAGATGTTCATGGATCAAGAGAACTCTACACTCTGAGATTAGGGGCTCATTCATTTCAGAAACATATGGGCCAGTTGCAAACACGGGTCATGGTCATATTATATGGTTTGAATATGGTTAATATCTTCCAATTTTTGTGATGGAGACCTGGTCCCCAGTGCACTGTGCTGAAAGGTAGCGGTGGTACTTTTAAAAAAAGTACCTCATCAGAAAGCCAAGCAGATGAGGCTAACAGATCTTGGATTTTTAGCCTCTGTAAGCTTAATAACTTGTCTCCTCTAAGTGACTTTCCAGGCTCAGGTGCTCTGTTGCAGAAGAGAACAGATGGAGAGAATCTATGAGGCCACAAGACAGATGTGAACATGTGCATCTGGCTTAGCAGCCGACATATGAAGGACTAGAGAATGAGTAGAGGTGGGGCTGCCAAAGTCCTCGGACCAGCATACAGGGAAGTGTAAGGTGGTCCCAGAGCTCCACTGTGGAGTGTGGGCAGGATTTGTGCACAGGAAGGGTTTGGAGGCAAAGTATTCCCCCTACCCACCCCAGTTCCATCAAGGATCAAGGAATCTTTGAGCCTAAGACAGAAAAACAGGTGGGAAGCACAGGTTTGCTTACTTAGGATTTACATGACTCATAAGAAAGGAAGACCCCCAACTAGTGAACCTAAGTGCTTTTGTGCTGGCCTAGACAGAAAGAAGCAATTATAGAAAGTAAGTAAGTTATGTTGGGAGGCCAAAGGAAATGGGGATTATTTTAACAGGGCTATTTGTACAGAAGTCTCTGGACTAGGACTTCCCATTAAAGGATCTTTCTTCCTTCCTTCCTCCCTCCCTCCTTCCCGCCCTTCTCTCTCTCTCTCTCTCTCTCTCTCTCTCTCTCTCTCTCTCTC